GAGATGGCCAAAGAGTGACAGTTCCATGAAGTTTCTTTGTAAGTTGCTGCTTTGGAGATGTGTTTTGTTTGGTATGTCAACTCAAACACTCAAACACTCTGGGTTAAGCTCCCAGGGGAATGGCAGGATAGAGGCAAGACAATCAGCAATAAACAAACCCACAACCTAATTGGAAGCTATTGAGTAATAATGTCATTGTCAGCTTTGAATGGAACCTGGCAGAAGCCATTTTTTATTCCTCAGTTGCCACACAGAGTGGGGAGGGGGAAGGACAATGAAATGCATTGCTAGACAAAACACAGAATTTTCTCATGGGAACCAAGGTCATGTCTACAGGTGGTGGATAGAGATGGGGAGAACTGCCTGGAGAGCCCAGCAGTTAACCCAATTGGCAAACATGACCTGTGACTTTTGGGGAGGGAGTTATTTCCTACTTTAATTATACTGAAACTGGGAAACATTCTGAGTTAGTTTTTCATTTGATCATGCCAATAAAGAAGTTCTTAGAGGAAGACCTCGGCCTCAGAGTTCTGATTTGCTTAGGTTCATTAGACGGGATCATGGCAGTCATCTTGTATCTTTCAAGCTTGTTGCCAGCTCCATGAAATGGTGGGAAAAGTAATGGGTATTTGGAAGGGGAAGTGTGAAGGTGAAAGTGGAATCTCTGAGAACCGATAGAGGGGCCTGGACTCAGAGACGCCAGGTTGTTTAACATCTTCAAGGCCAACCATCCTGCGACTGGCATGCACCTGGACTGGAGTCGTTCCCAAAATATCTTCCTGACCAATGATTGGTTGCTTGGCTACTAGGGGGTGAGGTTTGGGGTTAGTTTCAATTTGTTTTTTGAGTGCATTTTGCTTCAGACCTAGCCTGACTTTTGTTGCAATCAGTCAAGCCATGGAGCTGCCCCACCACCAGTCCAAGCGACAATTGCACCTGCTCTGTCTGGACCAGTGCCAGCCCCATTGGTGCCACCAGCAGCAGCTCCTGCTGCACAAGCCCCTCCACTGCAGGGGCTGCCCCTCAGAGCCTCAGGAGTGAAGTACGGGAGAGACCCCAAGCAACTGAGGTTCCTTCTGGCACAAGGCTGGAACTACATGCAAGAGTGTGGGCTGAATTGGGGTGGGAGGCAGCCCACATAAGATGCGTGACTGTGGCTCTCGAGGGTGCAGCAGCCGAATGGATGCTCTCCCTCCATAATAATGCCCCCCCCCCCCTGCGGACCTACAGCCACTTTATGGCAGCCTTTCACCAAGATTTCAAGGACTGCTTGGCAGAGCCCAAGGCGCAGTCCCAGGTGAAGACCCTCCCCATGGTCAGTGGCTGTGTGCACTCGAGTCCTGAGGCTGGACACATGGCCTGAAGACATCCTGGTTGATTGCTTCAAAGATGGCCTCTACTACGATGTCGACCACACCTGCATCTCGCGTGGGGTCCCACTCACTCCACAACATTGGTAGGTGCTGGCAGATGAAAGAGAGATCAGCCTAGCCTGGCACTGACACTTGGCGGCTACAGGTGGTGCAAATCCTCCCCTCCTGGGCATAAGGAACCCCTGAAGTCAGTGAAGGGTGAATCTGGGCTCAGACTGCGACCCACAATGTGCTTCAAAGGTGGAAAGCACGGGCACCGAGCTGTGGAATGCCGATCTGCCAAGCGCAGCCTCAAAGTGGTGGTGACCCAGGAGAGCAGAGAAGGCAGCTCCAAGAACCTGTGAGACAACACGGCAAGGGGTGGAGGTCCTTGAGTTCACCCCTCCTGATTATGAGGGCTGGAAGTCGACACATCACCCCCTAACCATTCCGGTGGAACTAGTGGCACCCTCATCCCAGGGGAGGATGTTGGCTCTCCAGGATGTAGGTTGCACCAGGTGTGCAGTTAGCCCTGAATGGTAGAAAGGTTGAGATTGAGATTCAAGCAGCTGAAGGTGCCAACAGCTTTAGAGAGACCTCCTGCTTGGACTGTCTTGGCCCCAGAAATAGAACCCTGACGTGAACTGGGAGGGGAACTGGAAATCCGGCATAAGGTAGGCAAAGAAGGGGGAGAAAGAAGGAAATCTGCTTTGAAACAGAGAGGATGTAAATGCCCAGAGTGAAATGCAGGCATTTTCTCCCTCAAACTGCAGCTCACACCAAAGAGCCCGTCCTTTGCAAGGAAAGAGTCACAGACTGAAGGGGTGGAAGTGTTGCCCATCCTACTCTTCAGAGAAACCATCTTTAGCTTCCCACTATGGATTTCAGGATAAATAAAGCTGCCACAGATGCCTGAGGGATTATTGTGCCGAATGCGCTGGTCTCTGTGGCAGAAGTCCTCACTTTGGAAAAGCAGCTGCCTCTGAAAAGGGAAGAAGACCACGCTGGCCTTCTCCAGAGCCAACAGGAGGCCAGCAGCATCCGCTCAGCAGCCAGGGCTCCCTTTGGGCCCTTCAGGCAACAGAGCTTCCTTTGTGGCTTCAGCAGATGGAGGCCGAGCTTCCGTCTGGCTAAGCAGCTGTTCCCCACCATTTTGAATGGGGAGTGAAGCTCCCTGAGGTTTATCACCTCTTTGCACTCACAGCCGTCTTTCTTATCAGGAGCCGCAGCCGGGCAGTCAGTGGGGAGGCATCCTCTGTGCACCACTTATTCCTCCATTAGGAGCTTAGTGGGCCCCTTCCCAACCCAGGGCAGGAGTCACCCTGCAGGGCCCCCGGCTGGGAGAAGGGGCTCCTCTGGAGTGCTTTGCCAAGCCCTTCTTCTTCCTTACTTAGTCACCAAACTCCTTTTGTCCGCTGTTTAATGGTTCAAGGCCTTCGTTTCACATGTTTCTTAGTTTTTAAGTGCAGCTTTTGTGAATTGGTGCTGCTGCATCTGTTATCCTTTGGGGGTATGAAATGTGTGTCTGGAAAATGCTTTCTTCCTCTGTCACCCAATATCACTTCCATTTCCTGCCAGACCAGAAAACTATCACTATTTTAACTTGGAAAAGCAAGGGAGGGGTTGGGTGTCACCCTTTGGCTAGGAGGGAGGGAGGGAGGGAGGGGCCCCACCACTATTTCTTCTAGCAGCATCCTAGCCTGATGCTTCATCCTGGAGTTTTTCCTGAGGTCAGCCCTTCCACCTCTGGTATTTTCCCACACTGGGGCTGCCTGTGGATCCCAAGTTCATTAGCCCAAAGCCAGCCTTGATCTGTGCACTCGTCTTCTTCAGGATGTAGAAGGAATTCTTTCCAGTTGGGAAAGCAGCTCTGCAGCGAACCAAGAAAGGAAGCTGGAAGAGAAAACACTGGGAAGGGAAATGGCACAGGATGAGCCTTCTCTTCTCAGCAGCCTCTGTGGCTCTGCTCCTTTTTTGCGCCAGATGGCGGCTTCTTTGACAGGCTGGCTTCAAGACTTCTAGCTCAGAAGCATGAAGGGTGGTCCGAGGGATCATAATGAGTGGGGGGGGCTGCAGTCCTTGCCTTTGGTCTTTCAACTCCCCCCTCCCCTGCATCCATGCATGTTATCTTGCCAGAGCTGGGCAGCTGGAAAGGAGTGGGGGGGGGGCTGCTTCTGAATAACTTGACTTTTTGTCTGGTGAAGGCCAGGCTCTTCCAGGACTTGGTTTAAGGTGCCAAGGAGCAGCACAAGGCTATTTTTAACTGGGGAGTTCTGCTTGCATGGAACATAGTGCCACTGTAGCCTGGGCATCTCTTCCATGGGAAATATTGCCATATGAGGAACTGTTGCCTTTGGCTTCTTGGAATCCCTGCCAACTGTGGCTTTGAAGAGGCCCAAATGGGATTCCTCGCCCTCTCCTTGCCCCAGGCACTGTCCAGAAGAGTCCACGAGTGTCTCCAAAGAGATCGGATTTCAACCACCATCATTCCTAGTTAGCATGGCTGGTGATTACGGGAACTGTAGTGCAAAGCATCTGCAGACAGATGTATTTATCTACTTGGGGACAGATGCTCAGGAAAGGAACCAGCGTCCCAGGTTTCAACCTCATGCCGGATAAGAGAAAAGAGGATTTTCCATTCGCGCCACTCCAAGCTACAATGTACGGCCCACAAGGTGGGCCTCGCAAGCCCCCGTGCCCAATTTGGAAACCCAATCAATCCGCTGCTGCATTGAACGGCCTCCAGGCTTCCCTGGCCCTCGACTCCCTCACGGCTCCCTTGCCCCTATCCACCTGCCCGGCACTCCTTGGCAGCTGGCCATGGTTTCTAATGTAACAGTATGGCCTTTCCTCTCTGAGCAGTGAAGTCCTGGTCTATGGGGACATTTTCAATTAAAATGGCATGATTGACAGGTTACCTTTTCATAGTTTAAAGTCTATTTTATGCTTCTGCAGAAACTATAATATTTTGTTAGGAGAAAAATCAAAGAGAAAGCAGAAAAGACTCAGGCGAAGGATCCTAACAGACGGCAGGTTTAGCAAACGCAGCAGCCAGAGAAAGCCTGGAGAGATGGGGCTGTACACTCAGAGGTCCAGAGATATAATCCCCCCTCCCATCCTGGGTGCAGAAGACCCTCCTTCAGTCTCCCGACAGCCATTTTCTTAGAGCTGCTCCTGCTGCTCCGCGGGGGCTCCCTCGCTCTGCTTCCTATCAGCCCCTTCCCCGCTCTGGCCCCATTTATGTCCGACAAGGGAATCCCAACATGGAGGAAGCTTTGCTCTCCCTCCTCTTGAGCAGCCTCCGTGCCCTCAAAACCCCTAGTAGAATAAGAGTAGCCGGACAGCAAAGAGTTTGCACGGAAGAATGCTCTACTTGTGTTCTTACATAGACAACGGCATTTACACAATGATTGTTGGGGCTTCTGACCAGGCAGCCGGATGGACTCAGCGACCACTGGTCAGCCTTCCCCCCCCTTCCTCCTGCAGCAAAGCATGCCGATTCCTTGCCTTTTGATTCTTCGAATATATCTGGACTGTGGCAAAATTGGGCCTCTGACTGGTAAGATCACGCGGGCTATTGCCCCTCCCCCATCCTCCAAGACCCCTTAGGCATCCCTGAAGTGCATAGGGAACTCCTTGGCTTGCTGACCCTCTGCCTGCAAAGGTTCCTGCCCGGTTCTGGGGCCTTCCCCCTCTTCTCCCCTCCCCCTTCAGAAGGATCCCTGCAGCCTAGGAAAGTTCTGCCCAGCACAGCAACATCCCCAGCACCCTCAGGATGCCTTTGGGGCTTCCAGTGAAGCCTCCACATTGCCATAAAACCCAGGGACCCCAGAGGCTCTTGGCTAAGGGGCTCCATTTTTCTGGAGCTCCCCATTTTTGCAGGAAAGTACAAGGTGTCCGTTCACTTCTCCAGCCAGTCCGTTCTGGCTTGGGGTCCATTCCATGCAGATGCTTTGCCCCCCAGAATGGCCCCCATGGATGCTCCTGAAGTCTCTGCCAGAGTGGAAGTTGAGTGAGTAGTTGCTGATCTGTACAGTTGTGTTCTCAGTCTCTCCGTCGTGTGCAGAAGTCCTGCGGCTGGCAGTAGCGGACATGAAGCCCTGCTTCCTGCACAGGATGTGCCGCTGGATGATCTTCCTGAAGGTGCAGCGGAACTCTCGGATCTGGTAGGCGTAGATCAGGGGGTTCACCATGGAGTTGGCGTGGGATAAGATAATGGCCAGGTACATGACCCCGGGGGGAGGATCTTTGCAAGTGGGGCAGAAGAGGGTGAAGCAGTTGATCAGGTGTAACGGCAGCCAGCAGACAGCAAACATCCCCACAATGAAGGCCAGAGACTTTGCTGCATGGACCTCTTTCTGCAGAATGTATCGGGACCGCCCCCCGTGCATCGCCTTGTTTTCCATCTGCTTGAGCTGCTGCCGGGCTGTCATGAAGATCTTCAAGTAGATCCCAAACATCAGAAGGAGAGGAAGCAGCACACAGGCAAAGAAGTTGTAGTAGACCATGTAATCCATGGTGACCACAGTTGCAAAGAGGCAACGCACCATATTGCTACTGCAGTTGGTTCTATTCTCCCTTTGCCCATTCTCTTCCAGAGCATTCCTGGGCCAGCCCAGCATTGGCGTCAGGCCAATAATGAAGGATAAGAACCAACAGATGGCGATGACTCCCTTGGCACGTGAGCTGGTCACCAGAGCATTGTACCTGGAAGAAGAGCAGAGAAAGGCAATGGGTGAAATCCCATCTACATGGGAAGAGAAGAGAGCAGACTGATCCATTGATAGAATCTGTCCAGATTCCAGCTTCTTCTTGCTGCAGTATCACTCCATCGCAACAGGAGAGAGCTGGGATCTGGTGCTGTGAAATGTGGCCAGCACTGTGTGGACTGACGATAGTGGGATTCAATCCACCTCCTCAGCAGGCCTCCAGCCACGTCAGGCCTTGCCCTCAGTTCCAATTAGATCTTTCATTAGAGGCAGATGAGATCTGAACCCTACACCTTTAAAAAAAAAACACCAAGCATTGTTAAGTTCATCCTAAAAGGATCCTCTATCAACAGGAAGCCAGGGATTTATGATTCTAGCCATACTGTAAATAATCTGGGAATTTGTTCACTGTGAAGTTCCCCAAAGAATTCTGGAAACTTCATCTCAGAATAGTGAGGATGTCTGTTGGAGACTCCATTCACCCGGCTACAGTTCCCAGGCATGAAGGGGAGGCCATTTAAGGCAGAGGGAATCGCCTTCTGGGTACAGCCAGGACTCAGCACAGCCAGAATCCCTTCCCAGCTGTAAGGGGTGGGGGGCCTGGGGGCAGGATCAATGCCCACCCTCTTGACGCTATCAGTGGAGTGGAGGGAAAACCCAACATTGCCCCAGAGACTTGTCTTTGGCCAGCGCATATCCAGGCCCAAATGCAACCAAATCCCTTGAATTCAAGTTTCATGTGGCGTTTCTTGCAATGAAGATGAGGGTCATGAGTGACACAAAACAGGGTAATATCGGTTCCTGGAACCAATGACATGAGGAGCTTTATTCTGCCTGTGCTGATAATAGTTCTTTTCCTTTAAAAAGAGATTTCTGATCAATACTGGAAACTTCTCCTCTTCCAGCTGGAACTCTTGAGACCAGCAGTGATGGGGCTGATGGGCCTGGAGGTTGCCTGCTCCAGAGGTCGGGGGGGGGGGGGAGACTCTCCTTGGCATCAACAAGGGAAGGGGGCCTTTGTCCCAGAAGACAGCTTACAAGTATTATAAATTAATTTTTAAAATTATGAATGGATTAAATATTGCTGGGGTCCTAGTTTTATTCGGATAAGCCCCTGGACTAGCTATGCCCAGAGTGGCCTCTGCCAGGCGCAGGATCCCTGATCCATTTGCCAGCTCCCTTTCAAGCTCCATCCTTCTTTGCTGCGCAGAGCAGGAGCCGAACAAGGGCTGAGAAGAGACAAGGAGCCCCTCCTGAGGAACATGCAATCGGTGATTTCATTTATGCGTATTTTTCCAGATAAACCATGGCTGAATTCTCTAATCAAGGCTGGGAAGGAAGGCTGTTTTGCTTTCCTTGTCCAGGTCCTGTCTTTAGGCCTGGCTTCTGGATGGCCAAGCTCAGGTTATTGATCACACCATTTCTGACCTATACAAGAGAGGAGGCGGATCAGTGACGTGCGGTGAGGTTTATACCTGGTGAGGCTCAGCTGGGCATCCTTTTGCGAAGCAGCTCAGCAGGGCAGCAGTCGGCCTCAGCAGGGGCTTGGAATTTGCATCGCAGGAGCAACCAAGCGCCCGGGTCTGCAGCAAAGGCGCTTGGCGGCTCCCGCGATGCAAAGTGCCCTGCTGCCCCCCCCCCCGCTGCCCTGGCCTGCGTCCGCTGCTTCTCCAGGCTCTGCCGCTGGAAGTCCCGGATCGCCCCTGGGGGAAGGCTGAGTGAGAAACGGAGCAAAGCTTCTCCACGGCCTCCCGGCACTACGCAGAGGCTCTCACAGGAGCGCGTGCCAGTGGCTGGTGGCCCGGAGTGGCCCCGGTTGCGAGACAAGGCAGCGCTTGAAGCAGCCGCTGCCGCTGCCGCCGCCACCGCCCCGCCAGGCGAAGGAGGGGTGGTGGCGGCGGCAGCGGCTGCTTTAAGCGCTTCCTTGTCTCGCAAGCGGGGCCACTCCGGGCCACCAGCCGCTGGCAGGCACTCCTGTGAGAGCCTCTGCGTAGTGCCGGGAGGCCGCGGAGAAGCTTCGCTCCGTTTCTCACCCAGCCTTCCCCCAGAGGTGATCCGGGACTTCCAGTGGCGGAGCCTGGAGAAGCAGGCCGGGGCAAAGGGTGGGCGGCAGCATCGGGGACGGTGGGGCACTTTGCATCGCGGGAGCCGCCAAGCGCCCAGGTCTGCAGCAAAGAG